TGTGTTAATAAATATTTTGATTTTGAAAAATCTTAACACTTAACCATGTTGGTTTAAAAATACTTTCATTGCATGCTACTTGGACATAACTAGTCTTTTCCTTACACATTTAAGACCTCAAAAGTGGGCAGAATCTAAATCCTGGGTTCTCCTGTACTTGAGTTACTGAGCAGTATAGGAGACATGTGCCTTCTGGAAATTTGTATCATTTTCACGCACCCATGTCCTTACAAACCAGTTGTCAGGGAGATGCCACTTAAATAACAGCTACTTATTAACAAGGAACAGGCATTGCATTCCTTAACTAGTTTGAGTTTCTTGTTCCCTGTTGTGTTCTTGGTTCTGCAGTCACCAGAAGTATTTGTACTATACCAAGAGCAGGAAAATCTCATCTTTATATACCTTTTACATCTCCATTTTTGTAGTTGGGGTATAAATACTTAAGGGGAAAAAATATCTAAGGGTATATATAAAAGCAAATAATAATGGTCTGCTTTACAAGTGGCCAGACCTACATTAAGAAAGATGTGAACTTCCTCCCTAATGATTGTGGGGGTGAGGAGGGTATGTGTGAGTGTGTGTGTGTGTGTGTGTGTGCTTCTGTTTTTTTTTTTTAAATAAAGTATATAATAAAATAAAAATAAATAAAAATAAAAATGAAGTACAACTATATACTATAACACAAATGGAACTTGAAAACATTACACGGAGTGAAGGAATTCTCTCAGAAAAGACCATATATCATTGCATTTATATGAAATGTCAGACTAGACAAATCCATAGAAGCAGAAAGTAGGTCAATGGTTGACTAGATCTGGGATAGAGAGGGGGTGAGGAGGCAGTGAGGATGGGAAAAATGAGTTGAGGGGATAATCACTGCTAAAGAGCAAGTAGTTTCTTTTTGGATGATGAAAATGTTCTATGATTGATGTAATATTTGCATCATTCTGTGAATATGCCCAAAAAAAATGACATTAAATTATACACTTTAAAATGGTTGGATTTTATATTATGTGAATTATATTTCAATGAAGTGGGTCAAGAAGAGTGGAGGTCTTTTCTCTGGAGCAATCTCTGGTCCATACAGTTATGGGCAGTAGGATTAAGCCAACGTTCTGAACTGAATTTAAACTTTGGACTTTCTTGTTCTCTTTTGGTTCCCAGCAAGCTGGCAAAAGTTTATCCTCCAGATAGGAGATGAGTGAATATCTGAGGAATCTGGCCAGTGCAAGCACTTTAAGTCTGGAGATGTTGACATGTCTCCAACAAAATCACTCCTCTAGTTATGCTAGAGTGGAGCTGATTAGCCAACAAACTGAACTCATGTTCACAGCTTCCAGTCACTGTTTGGTGTCTTACTCTTAAACAGACAGCCAAGATAACGAGATATCTGAGGAAAGTCTTTAATACTGTAATGTAAAAGCAGAGGCAAAACACACACACACACACACACACACACACACACAGAAGAAAAGCAACCTGGAGGAACAGAGAGTACTAAATTGTTTTTTTGCCTGTTTATTTGTTTATGTTTTTGTTTTTAGGTTTTTGCCATAGTACATATGTGTTTGTTGGATGAACAGAGACAAGAGAGATAGTGAGAAGGAAAATGAGAAATCACCCCCAAGGAGGATAGCCACGCTACAATCTTCTTCTTCAGCCTTCTCCCTGGATTTTTGGCACACATTCACGTATCCCTGGCCTGATTTTCAAGCCACCAGATCTGGGACTCAAACTGTGGTTAGCCATGTGGAAATCCAGCCCTTTAACCATCATGCCACCTGACAGCCCCCAGAGACTACTAAATTTTCAAAGGGCTAATATTAATATGAGAAATACAGGGGTCAGCAGGAGATTATGGTTCAAGTCCCATTTGCAGGACAGTTTGTTTTGCTTTAAAAATAATTTAAAATTTTATGTGTTTGTTTTCTTTTTATTTTTTTTTTTCGGAGAGGTTTTTGCTACAGGGCACATGTGGTTGCCAGAAATACAGAGAGAGACAGAAAGCAAGAAATCACCCGCAAGGTGGGTAGCCACACCAAAATCCTTTCTCCTCCATTCTCCTCTCGGGATCTTAGGCACGCACGCACACGCGCCCGGCGTGAGTTTTAAGCCACCGGGTCCGGGACACAAACCGCGGTCGACTACGTGGGAGTCCAGCAACATAACCATTATGCCAACTGCTGGTCCAGTGTTTGTTTTCAAATTTCATTTTTATGGAGTCTTTTAAAATTAATTTGGCCAAGGATTATTCAGGTTATTTTCTTGTTGATATGTAGGAAAGAGATCGTAATTATAAGTTTTTACCATTTTAAACACTTTCCAATATTTATTCCTATATTTTAAAAGCAAATGTGCAGACTGAATATATCAATTTTTCTTTTTTTTAAAAGTACATCAAATTTAATGAAATGTACACACACATTTATTTGCTACTGAAAAGTAAAATATATCCCTTCCCCATAAATCATTTTGCTCAAGATTGGATGCTGGGTTTCATCTCATGCCTGGGTTTCATCTCATGCTCCAGGCTTCTTCTTTTTTTTTTTTTTTTTGAGAGATTTTCACTGTAGGGCACGTGCGCTCCCCAGACAGTCAGAGAGAGACATAGAGACAGAAAGCGAGAAATCACCCCCCAGGGGGGATGGTCACGCCGCAATCCCTTCTCCTCCATTCTCCTCTTGGGATCTTGGGCACGCACACACACGCGCCCGGTGTGAGTTTTAAGCCACCGGGTCCGGGACACGAACCGCGGTCGACTACGTGGGAGTCCAGCGACATAGCCATTACGCTAACTGCTGGTTCCCTCATGCTCCAGGCTTCTAAAACACACATACCCGAGAACTACTGGTGCTTCTTGGATCAGATCAGGAAGTGCAAACACAGCACTGTACTTTGAACTCATTCCTCTATATTCAAACTACACATATTCTTTATAAATCCCTGGCATCAAGACAGAGATGCAGAAAGAAAACTAAGCCACAAAACTCAGGCTGTCACAAGTCGCTTTCTCAGTCAGCTGCACACTATTACCAGCAGGAGAGAACAACACATCTAAATCGACTCTGGGTCATAATTATTCCCTATTTTAGCGTTTTCAGAGGGATTCCGACCATGATTCAGGCAGCAACTGCAGTGGCATCTAAACAGTTCACTTCTTGGTTCATTCTGAACTTCTGAAATGCTCAAGGCTTTTAAATCTCTTTCAAGCTGACCTTCCTTAAGCCTCCTGTCTCTTAGTTCTCTTTCAAGCCGAGAAAATTTGTTGATTAAAAGGTATCGCAGTTTTACCATCCTTTCTTTCCTCACAGAAAACTGCGTCCTTACTCCTTTCCTTCTGTAGAGGAAGCCACCTCTGATCTCCTGAAAGATGTCTTCCCTTCTGTCCTGCTGTTGGGATAGACCTGATCGAGGGGAAAGGAGTCCAGTATGAGGGTTGAGAGTCAAGTTACTAAGTTCACTTAGCAACATTTCTGAGCAGGCAGGAGGAGAGGGCCGGCCTCTGTCGCCACATCCAGAATTGGGAGCTGCTGCAGCAAAGGAGCTCTGCCCGGGGGAGACATCGTGAAGGCCGCCCCTGAATGTCCCTGGGAATTTTCTTCAGTGGACATTGGAGAAGACCCCGGGGTCAAGGTTGGGTTAACTTTCTCTGATGGGTTCATCACCCATCCGGTCGGCCCTCTGAGCACTCACTGGGTCTCGGGGTCCCAGTCTATCAATTTTTCTTACTTTCTTTCCCCCTTTTTATGACAGAGAGAGGGAGATGGAAAGGGAGAGAAGCAGAGATCAGTGTTTTGACAGGGTCTTGTCAAATCTTCTGCGCTCACCTCCAATTACCTAGGAGGTATCATGAATCTTCTGCGCTCACCTCCAATTACCTAGGATCACAGGCATGTACAACTGTGCCCATGTTCAGGAGAACATGGGAATGGAACCTGGGTGTCTCATAAGGCACCTAGCCCCCAAGTAGTGACACTGTCTATACACCATATGGTTGGACCACTTCTTACTTTATATCTAGCATGTACAGAACTAGTATTTATTTTTCAAAGTTTATTTCTCCCATGAGTGAGAAAGACCAGAGAGAGACAGAGAGACAAATCCCAACAGGGTCTTGACTCTGCGATCCACCTCAACTTGAGCAAGCCCCAGATCATGGGCAAGAGCATGCCTAGAGTACTCAGGTAGGTCACCAGACTTGAACCCAAAACCTTCCCAAGGGGTTAGCCTTGCAGAACATGATGTTTTACTACTGTGCCACTGTATGACCCCAGAGTTAATATATCTTAATAGATATTGTTCATGGAGAATTTTTTTTTTTTTGGAGAGGTTTTTGCTATAGGGTGCATGCACTCGCCAGACAGAGAGAGACAGAGAGACAGAAAGCGAGAAATCACCCCCCAGGGGGCATGGCCATGCCGCAATCCCTTCTCCTTCATTCTCCTCTCGGGATCTTGGGTATGCACGCACATATGCCTGGCGTGAGCTTAAGTCACTGGGTCTAGGACTCGAACCACGGTTGACTACATGGAAGTCCAGCAACACAGCCATTTTGCCACCCATTGGTCCTGATGGAAAAATTTCTTACATGCTAACTAACCTCTACCAGTGTTTTTCCTATTAAAAAGAATGGTCTGATAAATATTTTATTGGTGCTGGCAGGTGGCGTGGCAGTTAAGGGCACTGGACTCCCACATGGCTGACTGCGGTTCAAATCCTGGACCTGGCAGTTTGCTTTCTCACTTTCCCCTTCTCTCTCTCTTGCACTCTGTCCCTATCTGGTCAAATTAAAACAAATAAAGTTAAATGAAATAATTCTTTAAAACAATGCATTTTATCAAGCTATTTTTTATTCCAATGTATAAGTCATAGTACTTCATTCTGCTTCTTACAAAGACGCACCATAAATTTATGGAACTCAACAATCAATTCTGCTAAGACTTTTTACACATTTGTTTAAAGACATAATAGCATCATCTAAACCTTTGCAGACAACCTTCATTCTTGTAACTCCCTTTCTTCCACTCCCTACCACACAAAAGTGGTGAAAACTGCTAAAGTGGTAGGTATCACCATGCTGCACACCACACAACAACCAGAGAGAGAGAAAGAAACTAACCATTGAGCTTGAGAGGGAAAGTGTGTAACTACCACATGACTGTGTATTACCAAGATGATCAAACATCCTGTTTTAGGACAGCAGTTATAGAGAGGAAAGTTGCCTATTGATGAAAGTGAACTTGGAAAGATTTCTATTTCTGTATCCTTTCTTCTTTAAGTCTCCTACCCCTGCCTCCAGCCCCCCACCCAACTTCATTTCCCAAGGACAGTAATTAAAAAGGAGGACATATCCCAGTGCAATGCCTCTTTGTTTGAAACTTCCTTAGCAGAAGCTTATTGTTCTCCCTCTCTCTCTTCTTTAGATGTTATATTTACTGCTATATAACTATTGTGTACAAGTGACATTTTCCATAAAAGGGACGTAAAATGTTCTTATATTTCTTGTTCTTAATGGCAGATTTTTCAGTATCTGTTAAAATTTACAATATACATGCCTTCCAAATTAGCAATCCTACTCCTGGCAATCTATCCCAAATAAAACAAAACACATCAGTAGATAAAAATATACAAGAATGTTATTACAGCATTATCTGTAGGCCAGAATGGAAACAAAATGAATGCTCAACAGTTGGGTGACTGCTGAACGGATAATGCTACTACTAGATTATGGAGTATTGTGCTGTCTTTAAAAATACGAATTCAAGTTACAACCAAATGAACTGGAGGTAGTTCCCTCAATATTGGGTGAGAAAACTGCTTGATAATACAGTATCACTTTTTAAAATAATGACTTTTAAAATGACACGTATTTGCATATGTATAAAAGTGTATATGACTAAGTCTGCCTAGAATTATATAAATGAAAAGATAAAAATGGGAGCCTGGGACCAGCAGCTGGCATGATGTTTACATCATTGGACTCCCACATAGCTGAAGTTCCAGTCCTGGACTCAGCAGCTTCAAACTCATGCCAGGCACGTGTGACTGCATGCCCAAGATCTCGAGAGGAGAATAGAAGAGGAGGGACTGCATGGCAGTCATCCCTGGCACTCACACACGTGTGCGTGCGTGCCCAAGATCCTGAGAGGAGAATGGAGGAGAAGGGATTGCGGCGTGACCATCCCCCCTGGGGGGTGATTTCTTGCTTTCTGTCTCTATGTCTCTCTCTGTCTGTCTGGCGAGCGCACGGGCATGGCACTCATCCCTGAAGGGTGATTTCTTGTTTTCTGTCTCTCTGGTAAACACATGCACCCTATAGCAAAAATTTCTCTTAAGAAAAGAAAGAAAAAAGAAAAATAAGGACCAGCGTATAGCATAGTGGTTAAAGTGCTGGACTCCCACATGGCCAAACAGAGTTTGAGTCCCAGACCTGGCAGCTTGACACTCATGCCGGGGGTGTGTGCATACTCAAAATCCTGAGAGAAGAATGGAGGAGAAGGGATTGTGGTGTGGCCATTCCTCCTGGGAGCTAATTTCTCACTCTCTCTCTCTCTCTCTCTGGTTTTCTCTGTGTCTCTGGCAAGTGCACATGCCCTAAATCAGAAATCTCTCTGAAAAAAAAAAAAAGAGAGAGATAAAATGGATGGATACATATTAGACTGTTAACATTGATAATCATGAGAATGGGGTATGGGAAGGCTGCTGCAGGGCAGAGAGAGAGGAGATGAAATCTTTAAAAAACTTCAGAAGGCATGGGAACCAGCAGTTAGCGTAATGGCTATGTCGCTGGACTCCCACGTAGTTGACCACGGTTCGCGTCCCGGACCCGGTGGCTTAAAACTCATGCCTGGCGCGTGTGCGTGCGTGCCCAAGATCCCGAGAGGAGAATGGAGGAGAAGGGATTGCCGCGTGACCATCCCCCCTGGGGGGTGATTTCTCGCTTTCTGTCTCTATGTCTCTCTCTGTCTGTCTGGCGAGTCCACGCCCCCTATAGCAAAATCCTCTCCGGAAAAAAAAAAAAAAAACAACTTCAGAAGGCCCGTCTATGTCCTAGTGGTTAAAGTGGCTAGATCCCATGAGACTGACTATGCAGTTCAAGTCCTGGACCCAACAGCTTGAGAAACACATTGAACACATGTGCAAACATGCCCAAAACCTGAAAAAAGGGAGAGATGGAGAAGGGATTGTGGCATGCCATGCCCATGGCAGATGTTTCTTGCTTTCACTCTTCTCTTTCTCTCTCCAGCAAGTTCATATCCCCTCTGGCAATAAATGAATGAATGAATAAATAAATAAATAATTTGAAAATTTAAATAAATAAAAAGAAAAACAAAATAAAAAACCTTCACTATGAAAGCATTTATATGAGCACATTTATACATTATCTAAAATTATACATAAAGTATTAATAAAGAAATTAACTTTTTCTTAAGGTTTTTGTCATAGGTCACATGTACTCACTGGAGAGAGACAGAAGAGAAGGAAATTGAGAAATCACCCCCAGCCGTGCCACAATCCTTTCTCCTTCATTCTCCTCTTGGGATTCTGGGTATACACATATGTATACCTGGTGTGATTTTTAAGCCTTTAGTCCAGGACTCAAACTGTGGAAGGTCATGTGAGAGTCCAACGCCTTAACAACCACACCACTTGCTGGCCCCAAGAAATATTTTTTGAAAATATAAAAGGCATAGGCAATAGGACTAGCCCTGTACCTAGCAGTTAAGGGAGCCAGATCTTCCATGATCAACGATGGTTCAAATCTTGGCCTTAATAGATTGAAGAAATGGAGAAGAGACTGCAAGTGACCATGCCTCACTGGGGATGGGGGAGGGGGTGTTTCTCTCTGTCTCTGTGTCTCCCTGGTGAATGCATGCATGTTGTCACAGCAGTTCCTTTCTTTGA